GTGACGCGAACGCCGACCCAGTCGGAGAAGCCGGAGCAGCCTTAAGTGAAGCTGAAAGCAGACTGCTGATCCCCTGAAATTAGAGCAGCGAAAGAGGAGACAGACGATAAGAAGGACCTTTTAGAAAACAGATATTTATTTAGAAAAAATAGTGAACTTCATATTATTTTTACAGTGTAAAGAGTACTTGCAATAGGTGCCGTTTGTGATTTAAAGTTAATGTTACCGAAAACCTGAAAATACTTAATAAGACCAGGATGGATACACAGATGAGCTGAACCCGTTGCAGGTCCCCCGTATTCAGAGTCTTATAAGACACTATATAACCATTTAAATACATGGATGTATAACAAGCATTCTAATGTATTTGCACGCAGTGGCTATGATTTAGAGATATGTGACTAGTTGTTCTTATTTAGGTTCAGTTGCTAGTTTAAAAGGTTGTGTGTTTCTTATTTTGCTTTTGTTTTCGTGATTGCGTAATTCAATGAATGACTTGGGCTGTCGACTGCAATTTCGTCACTGGGATTTAATGAAAGTGCAGCCCTGTGATTGGATCTCTGATGAATCATGACAGTGATGACTATTTGGTTTTTTGCCGTTTGAGGCTTCATTTGTTATTAATTTCCACCTTTAGGATTTAGCTACAGTCTGCTATAGAGCACAGACTGCTAATGTAACATGAATGAACTCTGCCTCAAAAAAGGCTTGCCAGGTTAGTTAAAGATGCCTGTGTATCACATAGAAGATCAATATAACCCACTATGAACATAAAGTATGATGAGAGTGAGTGTCGCTCTTTGTGCTGGAGTCCACAGTGGTAGGACTATTTAGGACGAAGAGATCAAGCGTGGCACTTGGATATCATAACGGCCTAGGAAAGAGAAAAGACAAAGACTGAACAGGCTTAAAAGGCTTTGGTAAAGAATACCACTGAAAAGTGTGAGTGAACCTGTGCCTGTAAAGTGCTACAGTCAGTAAATGATGGATGTTTATGATGGTGTTTATTTGTTTTTTCTTGATATGGTTTAACAGAATAACAAACGAAGATGAGATTCGTTGTTGATGTGTGTGGTGTGTATGGTGTGTGTGTGATGGTAGAAGCATTCGTGGGGGTGTTGAATTATAGCGTGGTGGTGAGTGTGGGGTGTCAGGTGGTGTTGTGGTAACCAGCAGCTAGAGTGGTTTTACTCAGCGGGGTGATGGTGTAGTGATGTGAGGGGACGCACGTGCCGGCTGCGCTATGTGATATATTCCCAGTGCTGTCATGTTTTGTGGGTGTGGCGTGTGTGGAGTGTGGTTGGGTATGTGGGTATGTGTGTGGTGTTGTGTGGTGGTGTGGGTGTGGTGTTGGGGTTGTGGGTGTGTGGTTGTGGTGTTGGTGTGTGGTGTGTGTTGTGTGTTGTGGTGGGTTGTGTGGTTGTTGTGGTGTGTGTGTGTGTGTGGTGTGTGGTGTGTGTGTCGTGTGGTGTGGTGTGGGGTTGTGTGTGGTGTGGTGCTGGGAGGGGCTAGTGGTGAGTTTTGTGAATGTGTGCGTGTGGGTCTGCAATCGTGCAGCTGACAACTGCGACGGGCTGGCGACTGTCAGCTTTGAGCTGGATGCTAGCGTGCCTGGCAGGCCTCAGCTGGTCTCTGAACAATACGTTTTACATGGCCTGAGCGTCGAAACGGCAATTCGCGAATGTCTGATCCAGTGCAGTTTGCTTGTCTGAGATGTGTCTGCTGCAAAGCGCTCTACAGAAAGCGACAGAGACGGTGTTGGAGAGGAAACGTTCGTTCATTGGAAGTGGATAGGTAAAAGCAGGTTTGCATGTAAAAGAAAGAGCAGTTCACATGCGTGTGCTGGAGGTATGTACGTTATTTGTTCTTCCGCCTAGTGAGAGGTAGAGCTGGAGACTGTCGGTGTCTGCACGCGTTAAATGTGAATGTGCAATTGTAGCTGGTATGCTTAGGCAGGGGACTGGGAAACAAGTGGGAAAACAGCTAGGCCTACAATCTAAAGGATGTACCTTACTGCATTCCTACAAGGTCATTCAGTTGAGAGAACAGTGGTTCTCAACTCTGTTGTCTGGGCGGCCCGCGCGCGCCCCTTCAGAGCGAAAAAGTTGACGCCTCCAATGGAATGCTTGTCAGCTTTGTGTGTTGAGAGTAGAGGGAACCGTTAAATGTCCACGTAGTGACGTGTATTTGTCTCCCTTATCCCGTAAGAATGATAAAACAGCGCGTAATTAAAGCGAGGATGATTGCAATCACTGTACTGGAAGTCTATAGTTGACCGGGCACAGGCGCCGCCCCACTGTATTGCTTCCTTCTTATAGAGTTAATTGTTGGAGGAAAGCAGGTTGCGACTGATTAATTTGGTGGCAGGTTATGGTAGCTATAGACGAAGGCGAGCAATAGCTCAGGTTTAGCATAAAGACGTAGAAGCCCAAGATAGCAGCAGGTTATACTACACTGCAAGAAACTCAGGTTTTTGCCCACAATTGCATGGATTTGCATAACAGTTTGGGGCAGTGGTCTGCATAAGGGGAACTGCGTGGTACCCAGTAGACCAGCTTTTTCATTCAGAGTTCATAGTAGTATAGTGATATATTAGCTATATATATTAATATATAATATTAGTAATTATTAGTATATTGATATGATATATATATACTATCATATATAGCCGGTTATATTATAAAATAATGGAGGGTCAGAGGTCAAAGGACCCCTTTGAAAATGGCCATGCCAGTATTTCCATTTCTAAAATTATGCCTAACTTTA